AAGATAAAGGTATCTCTAAAGAATAATACTATAGATCTGGAGTAGAAAGAGGATTGCGTATAAGTACTACGTACCCGATAGTAAACGCGAGAGATTACTAATATACTAAATAAGGTTAGCTCCCTTATTACTTAAACGATAATATTACTTATAGATTCAAGGTTTACTATCTTACTATTTATATTAATATAAGCCCTTAACACCGCGACGTATTTTATAACCTTTAGCCTAATAAGCTAAAGCTCGTGCCTATCTAGGATATACGAACGCGATAGAATTTAATATACCTTATACTTCGGCGGGCTAAGAGACTCTAGATAACTTTTAATATATTCTACTCGTAGTATAATTAGCCCTATTTTATACTAAATACCGAGGAGTAGCGATAGATCGATTATCTACTATTTATCCTATAACTCTTCTTTAAATATATAACTATCGTTTATACGACTAAAGATATAAGTATCTACTTAGTCTTTAGTTTCTATAATAAGCTTTTTGATTATCTTGAAAACTTAATCTACTAACTCTAACGGAAGAAGATACCTTAGAAGTAGTTAATACTTTCCTTACTTTAGGCTATATAGGATAAGCTATTAAAGTACTACGCTATAATAGATAATATCGAAGGCGACCTCTATATAATTAGTACGATCCTTGTACTAGTAAATAAGCTCTAGTTCTTCTTAACTAAGGAATAGGAGTCTAATAATTTAGAGAAGGATTATAAAAGGATCTATCGTAAGAGTCTTAAGTCTTTATTTATCTTATACGATAAGAAACGTCCGGAACGAAGGCTTCGATTAGACGCTAAGTTATTAATAATAATAATAATAGTGTGAGCAAGCGATGCTGCGCAGGTTAGGTAGAGAGGAAGGAAGATTAATTGATCTTCTTCCTTTGATTGAATAGGAAGGATAAAATCAATTCGGCTTGGAATCATAAAGATGAGAGAAAAGTAAAGTAGGACTGAAGCTTGGTTGATTGTATTGAATCTTGCTTATCTGTATTCAACATAATTATTATCTTGGTAGAGAAAGCAGGGCATATTTATAATCAACTTGTCTCTTGCATGTGATCGTTCTAGATGATGCATGATGATCTCATGCAGATAGATCTAGATGCATAGTGATCTCATGCAGTAGCTGATTGATCGGTGGTTGCTTGATTGTACGATGTCATTGACCGTAGTGATGATGTAGATCGTGTACTATGATGCGTCTGTTCATGCCTGATTATCCGATTGGATAATGATGATATAATAGCATAAAGCTTATTGAGATTCAGCTATCTTGTATAGGCCTTATGAATCTGGCTTGATATGCTGTATGACGGTTTAGGCATCTTGCCCTATATCTCACAGTATGACGGTTTAGGCATCTTGCCCTATATTTCACAAATAGACGCTAATTTACTATTTGAAAACTCGTAAATATTACTATCTCCGTAATAGAATAAGCTTATAAGATACCTTAATAGTCGTACGTACTCTCTTCTCTTATTACTAAATAATACTAATTCTTTCTTTTAGCGACTGTACAAGGCTCCTCTCGAATCTTCTAGAAAGACTATAAATACGAGTTTCCTGTACTCGTAAGCCTTACCTAGGATATTATATCAATTCTAGTAACTAGAGTAGGAGTAGAGCGTCTCTTTAACTCTGCTCGGGATATCTACTATTATCGCTAAGGGTCTTTAAAGCTAAAGACTATCCGGGATATTATACTATAGATATATATAACAAGATTCGATCTCTAAGAGTAAAAATAGCTTATACTATAGGAATATCTCTTATACTAAGAGATTATAGCTATAATAGAGGCTAATAAAATATAGGATAAATCGTTTAATCCGATTAGTGATACTAAGAAAGAGACTAAGGATCTAGTATATATAGTAGAGGATATACAGTCCCCTCTACGGCCTCGTACAGGAATACTTAACCTCGACGATAGAGAGGCTCTAGATCACGATAAGGATAATAACGACGATATAAACCCCCCTCTACCTAATATATAGTAGCGTATATCTAGTAGAAAGCGTAAGCGCTCGAAGGTACTTGAGGGCTATGTTCTTAGATCTTAATAATTATACTAGTTGATTCTCTATATCCTATATTCGGTCATTCGTTCGATGAAAAATGCCCTTTTCTTATAGTCTTATTCCTTGATTCTTAAATCCACTACTATATTATAAATTTACAATTGAATACATAGAAAACCTCTCTTAATATACATATTTTATGAACAGTGAGTAAGTCACGTTTTTTTGTCTGTTTGCCCTGTTTGTAGACCCTGAGGTTCACCCGCGGGTAACCCTCTAAGGGTCGGACCTCTAGGTATGCGACCCTCAGGGTCGATAGGTTAGGCGCTTACCCACCCGCGGTGCGGGTAGGGTAGAGGGTCTGGAGGGTCACCCGCGGGTGAGTGCCAGGTCTAGCCGTGTGTCAACTAGCGACAAAAGCCATTCTTTTCACTCTACATTGAAAATGCGCTTTTGCATCACATATAGATGAAATGCTAGCGGTATAATGCACGTCTGATCTTCCTCCGTAGTGCGTACAATAGCAAGCTTAGCTAAATACGTCCAACTATCATATTGATAAGTTGCTTGCAACCCCAGTTTGAGAGACCCAGCACGTAGCGGTTGAAAACCAAGGTGTTTTGTGACAGTTAATGCTTAGTTAATTGACCGTTAATTGATCACTGTCTTTTTTTCTTGCCCTCAGTTACATTACACGTCTCGACCCAAGCGACCTAAATGACCGTTTAACGGTGGCTTCAACAGGGTCAACGGAAGAGAACGGCAGGGGGTGAAACCGCACTTTATTTTCAGTAATCCAGATATTGTAAATGGAGGTTGCAAAATCTGGGCAAGAGCTGCTGGTTAAACATAGTCTTCATAGAATTATGTGTATTCAGGTTTTGACTCCCAAAGGATGGGGGTTTTCACCATAGCAGTGTTCTACTCTCGCGTTGGAGCACGGTTAGAGAAACGGTGACCTAGTGCAAGTATAAAAAACTGCTAATGCACAGCAAAATTGAGCTACTTAGCTAGATAGCTCCCTCGTTTTTTTCCTTCTCCCTTTCTGTTGTCTACTGTACTATAAAAGTGACGCTTGAGGCATCTTTTTATTTGTGGAAGTGGCTACTTAGAAATAGCTGCTGCACCACATACCCGACCGAACCGACTTGTTCCGAGCAAGAAAGCAAACCCTAGAAACAGTGTCGTCGTAAATCAACTCTGATGACAAAGGCAAGCGAATACAGCAAGATGTGCGATGCAGATGTCTGCCTGGGAATACGTCTCCATGAGACGGGCCAAGTATATATTTTTTCGGCGGATGCTTCAGGATTTTGGGCCTTTCTTGGCTCTTAGCTAGTACGTCGCTAATGCTAACTAACTAGTTATCTACTGGAAAGTTGACTAATACCCTCCAGAACTCATACTTTCCAACCCCGAAGCTAGTAACAGATCGAGATCTTGAGGTAGTTTAACGCGCATACACTACTTAGGGATGTTATATATGGATTAAGAGATCAGATAACGAAACTAAGGGACCTCCATTCTGACTGGGAGCTCGTCCAACGCTGACATCTACATCTGGATGACCTATGCTTATAAGTATAGCGTTTCTCTTTGTGCTTCTTGGATGACCCCTATTATACCTTGAATCGCCTCCCATGATAGAGCTCAAGCGAACTTCCTCGATAGAGAATACAACTGTAATCTGTATGCTTCCTTCTCGCGCCCACTCATGATTTATTATGAGTGTGCACTGGCTGTGCCCATTATTTATCTTTTCTAAAGAGCTAAATCGTGAAGCCACGGAAGTAGATGTTGGGTGAGAGCTGTGGACGCGTAGAATACACGCTATCTAGAAAATCGTGAGTGGTGGAAATCGGGTGGGAGCTATGGACGCATGGAAAGCACGCTCTCTAGAAAAGCGTGCGTGTCGCATGGAAATGGAAGTCAGGTGAGGGTGGAACTCGGGTGGGAGCTATGGACACATGGAAAGCACGCTTTCTGGAAAAGCGTGAGTGTCGCATGGAAACGGAAGAGTTGGAGGCAGAAGGATCTTCAGTTGAGGGGCAGAGGATGAGAGAGCGGGAAGTTCCTAGTCGGGGGGAAGAACTTCCATTTATAAGACAGGAACTTCTGAACAAGGTGGGGGAACTTCCCCACGTCAGCCCCCTGGTAGTCACACCGAATATGAATGGCAGCAAAGTCTCCCCTCTTGGCTTAGTGCTTACATCGCTAAAACTGTATTGGATAGGCCAACTAAGTCATGTTTGGTGCCTCGATCACCTGGCCCCTTCGATGTCACTGCCGCTCCGTTCCACAACCAACAAATGAATGCCCTCCTAGGTGCTCCTGGGCACTACATAGTGGATCCCATATTTCACCCGGGTAGAAAAAAGGGCAGCTTTTAAAGCCCGCCTTTCCCCAGGGTATTTGAAGTCCGAACACTCGAGCAGCTCGAGGGCTAAACACACGTTATTTTCCAACCGCCGGATCTTCTGTTCTTCATCACTATGTCCTGTTACCATCCTTGGCGACGGGAGAATAAGAGCTTGTCAAACAGTGACTATTTCGAGGGAATCGCTCCGTCGGACGGTTCTACTACTTCAAAGTTATGCAGCAGCGGCAGCAATGCTGGGCATGGAATGGAAAGTGATGAGTCACCACCTCAACACCTCTCAAAATTCTTCAACGATGACCAGCCATGGGACTTCAAACAGCACCAAACAAACCCAATCGGAGAAGCTCGGTTGATCAGTGATGTTTGCCAGATTTATGCAGAACTAGTCTTGGTAGAAACAAACTGCATCAACCTCGACAGGCAACAAAACGAAACCCAAGCTAATTTATCCGTCGTAGAATAGCTCTCACTAATATCATTGCACGAATCCCTGCTTGCCAAACATTACAGCTTCTTTCTTGCTTCTCAACACTCTTCTGCTAGTCAAGGGTTGAATCTTCTTGCCTTCGAGTACAAAATGCCAGCGCGATTGTGGAGATATGGCATCCATTCGCTGTTGCAGCTGCTGCGACAAAAGCTCCCCATATCCTGGGATTACATGCTGGATTTCATTCTCAACGCATACACGATGCTGACGATATTACTTGAAAACGTCATCGCATTCCGCGAGACCTGGCTCGAGTGTCTTGGAGATTTAGCACGATATCGTATGGCCGTGGAAGAGTCCGGAGACCGGACACTCTGGGCCGATATTTCAAGATATTGGTACAACAAACTCGCTGAGTTCAGCCCTGAAGTTGGCCGTGTTCACTTTCATCTGGGAATATTAGCTCGTCCGGACGAGCTTCTGCAGCTTTTCTATTACACCAAGGCACTGGTGAGCATTTGTCCCTTTCCCAACACGCGGGAGAGCATGGAGATTCTTTTCAGGGCGAATGAAGGACAGGTTTTGACTCAACGTACAATGGCCAGCGCATTCATTGCTACTCACGGTGCGTTGTTCAACAAACGGCCCGCGGATCAATTTACTACCTTGGCAAATAACTTTCTTGTGCTCTTGCGAGGAGAAGCTCGCTCCCTGGGTCGCCAGGAGGTATACATTATGCTGTGCAATTTCGCGGCCATGTTTCAATACGGTGACAAGAGCGCCTTATTTGTGATGGAGTTTATTAAGAGGAAATCAGCAGCGGATGCTGATGAGCTTGCACTCAACTCCACAGCAGACTTGGACTTAGAGCTCAAGATCAAGAAGCCTAGCGACCCTAGTCTTGATCTCTCTCCAATAGCCTCCCATGGCAGTTCTCTCACCTTCCACACCCTCTCTGTCCTGCTCGACCATCTAGGAGATCCTAGTATATACCCAAGTGTGCATGTCTCGTTGGCATTCATCTGGACCCTGGCTTTACGTCCACCTGCGATGCAGAAAGTTGACAAATTCATCCACTGGGCCAACATCGTGAGGTTTCTCAACAACCTCATTGACTCCGACATTCCCTTCCACAAGATCGAAGACGACGCCTTCCCATCGGACGACGGGACCACTCGCCAACTACCGGAGGACTTTCTCATTCGCGGTTAATTATGGAGCTAACTCTACTTCCCCGACAAATTTTTCGACGGAGCCGCCGAGGAGATTCTTAGGCCTGGCATTGAGCAGCCTTTCGCTGCCATCTCTCGCAAAGAGAGGTGCCTCTGGCTAGGCGTACGAATAGCAAAGGTTTGTAGCAAATTTCTTTAGTTCAAGTGCTTTTCTCGATCAAGAAAAACAAGGCTAATTGACTTGACATGTAGTTCATCTTCGTGACTGGTGTAACAGTCGCGACGTAGCCGGGCGACTAAAAAGATAAGGTTTTGACTATTGATATCAACTTTATTGCAGCGCTATCCGGAAATATAAATAAACTTTTCGACGTAAAGGTCTAAATATCTAATCCGAAGGGAGTAGTAGTTAGTGGCGGTGGTAAATTAATAATTAAGCGGACAGGCTAGTTAATAACTTAACTTAGGATCAGACAAAGAAATTCTTATAGAAAGATGAGTATGACTATTTAGGACAAGTGGGTTCAGTCGGTCTTCATTAACGCACTGAATTGATTCTAGTCGTTCGATCATCGTAGCTCGCAATGAATGTGATTAATTAGTCAGTCTAACTGTCGATCCACGGCGCTAGAGCTTATAAGGTTAGACCCGCCTAGATGGGGTCTCCAGCAATTAAGCCCCGCTAGTCATCGTATCTACTCCGTAATAAGTTAGTGCGTTGGTTAACTTAACTAGAGCTAGGAATGTATAGTAATCACTCCGAGCGGGCATGCCTAATGATTCAGCAAAGACGGTTGAACTAACTTAGTTAACTAACTACTGTAAATCTAGATTAGATTTTTCTCTTAACGCGCTGATCACCTTTCCCTAGACGTGTAAGAAATGACGAGTCGCTGATATATATAATAGAACCGTGCATTCCATACGCTGGCCGAGGGACTGTATTTGCTGTACCCCGGCCTCAAGTTGAAGATCAAGGCAATCGCTCAGGCGAAGCCAGTCTATGTCGCAGTTATATTTTGGGAATTTGAATCTTACTTGCATACAGTCTCGATGTTGCCGTCACTATTCTGCACAAATCAATTAATTTACATCCTTCCTTCCCCCAGCTATTCACAGATATAGTTCAGGAATAAATACGATACTTCGGGAAGTGGAATTGTTCACTTGAACTAGCGAAGGAGAAACTGAACAACGATGGTAATTCCCATGTCACGGATGAATCATCAGCTTTAATGTATAAATTTTGGTGTAAACATTTGGATGCTCAATCACCTATTCTCATTCTATGCCTCGACCAGAAGAAGTACATCGACCGCCAAAAGATGGAAGCCCAGGGAACCAACTAGCGAAGTCCAAGACCACTTACAAATATCCTTGATATCGGCCCTTGAATTTGTGTTTGTGAGACTCGAACTGCCAAAAAGCAAGGCATCAGATGATCTCTCCCCGACAAAGCAACTAGTACACCAAAATCTCCTCATCTTTTCCTCCCCCGTCCCTCCATTTATTAAGCACCTTCTTCATATCCGCCGCGATATTCTGAGCGTAGTCAGGCCCAGCGGCCCCGGCAGGCAAATCCGCTGGGTTCCCCCTCACCCAAGCAACAGATTCTTTAGCAACACCCGCGAATTTCTTCTTAAGCTCTTCAACCTGCTGAGGCTCATAGCCGCGACCGAAGATTACCGCGCGAGGAGGCCGGCTGTAATCGTGGGTTCCGATCTCATTGGGGCTCCGAGACTGAGGATCGCGACCTGCAAGCAGATGCGGGAGCTCAGCCTCTGCAGCCTCATATGACAGGATGAAGTGGATGACTGAGGAGCATTAGCACCATACTTTGTTTATTTAAGGAATGTATATCAAGAACCTTCATATTCAGGCGGCAGGTGCTGGGAGATTGATTTTCCCATCGCGGGTATTCTGCCGCAGGCAACTACTGGCATCGGCTGAGTGAATGAAGACATGTTGCGAGAGCTGTAAGTTGTACGCTGTACGCTGCGGATGAAGGTATTTCGGAGCATTGGAGATGGAGAATAGTGGAGTAAGCTGAGGTCGATGATTCGATTTATATTCCTCGATGCGGCGCGCTCGGTCTTGATGATGAGTTGTTGACGTTCGGACGGAGCATGAGAGCCCGTTAGTCTCCGACTCCAGCCAATTTCAAAGTCATAAACTTTGGGCGCAGTTCGGGCCAATCGTGGCGACCCACCGATTTTTCGATTATTCAACAGTCCCGACGCCCCGACCCCGATGAGTAAACCAACGCCGTCACGTCCTTTTCGCGCTCTTGGATTATCCATTACATCACTGCATGTCTTCAAGATAAAGAAATGGCCTCAAGAGCAATACACGATGGTCGAAGCAATGCTGACGCACCCGCGCCTCGCAAGAGAGGCCGGCCACGAACTGGGACGGACGATCAGCAAGTTCCCGAGGTGGGTACATCCCGAGCAACTGCAGAGCAACTTGGAACTGACTCAAGGAATCCAGAGACGTCGAACGCAGCTTCGCGTCGCGCAGCAAGCATATCGAAAGAGAAAAGAGACCACGATCGTCAATCTGCAATCTCGCGTACAGGAACTCGAGTCGGGCATCGAAGAGCTCAGCGAGTCGTTCCTTTCCTTCAGTAATCTTCTGTTCGAGGTTGGGATTCTCCAAAATCAGCCTCGTGTCACAGCTGCTCTGCAAAAAATTACACAGCAATGCGTGTCGCTTGCCAAAAGTGGCTGCGACGAGGCCGAACAAGCACCTGCAGCGCCGGCGGACGAATCGCCACCGACGTCTCCCACGGTCAGCGATACACGAGATATAATCTCAAATGACAATCCGCTCATAATGCAACTTGGTTCACTGCCAATAATCGGTGACGCTTTCAAATCCACGTCGGACCTCGCGGCTCAATGGCCTGGACTATCACAACTACCCCCTACGCCACCCTTCCAACAACAAGCAATTCTACCGTTCGGAATAGACTTGTCATCTCCGAATATTCCCTTCTCATCAATCCCTAGTCCCGCCTTGAATTTCCCGACCATAGTATCGCCCGATAATCTCCTAAAGCAAGGGCGCTGGACACTCTCACACCGTCTGGTCCGACAATGCTGCGAGACTGGATACTATTTATTAACAAGCTCATTTAGAGACGATCCAAGGGTCAAAGCAATCTTCGGCAAACGATTAACCATCGACGAGCGCAACCGCTTCATCTCCGGATTCGTCGATGTCATGCACGACGAAATAGGAGACACGATCGAGTTGAGGACAAAAGTTCTCAATTCAAGGAGGAACAGCTACTCGCCTGAACAACTCGCCGTTTCCTCTCGAACGTGGCAAATTGTCAATGAATCGGGTGCTGATGAGTGGATGGATGCGAGTGGTGTGCAAAGGCTGCTACAGCAGCGAGGGATTCGTATTCAGGACCCGAGCTCGCCCCTCTCCGGTCCCCGGTTCAATTCGGCTCCGCAGCTCAACGTAGTGAGTTTCATTAAATGTGAGTAATGCCGAGATCCAGTGGTTGTTTGTGTCTTCTTGTCCATGTATTTACTGACCTTGTTGTAGATCTTTCCCTCGGGCCTATCTGTCTCGGTCGCGGACCAGCGTTCCGAAAGCGCGATGTTGAGAATGCTATTCGCCTTGCAACTCTTGATGATCCTTGGGCGTTTAACGCTGTGTGCGAAATATCATGAATTATGTATAATAACAATAATTGTCTACAATAGATATAATCTCCGCTTACTTTGCACATTACCTTTTCACCTTCTCTGTCTGCGCTTTACCCCTGCTGCGCTTCCCTAGTACCCGGGAAAAAAGGGGCGTGGTGGTTGTGTATGCTAGCAGTAACGGGAAACTACTTCTTTGAAGTAGCGGGCCGTAGCATCATGGTGGTGACCAGAAGGCGCTACAAAGGGTATGTTTCCAGCTCGTGTCTGGGCCATGGCTGTGTGGTATCGCCAACATACTCTACTAGCAAGGCTTGCGGAGACCCTGTGATGGCTCGGGAGGACGGATGCGCATGTCGGTTGGCCTAGAGAGGGAGAGTATTATGCCTGACTCGTACTCAGGTCCCTAGGAGCCTCCTGGCGAGGTATCACCCATAATACTATCGCCCTTGCGGCTAGCTTAAGGTGCAAACTCCAGAGATGTTTGCAGCAGCAGAACCTTTTGGGCCGGGTTTCTGCCAATAGGGACAGGTAATCACTATCTGAGCAGGAAGTGCCAGGTAGAAGATGGTTATGGAATCGACGAGAATTTGTTAAGGCTTTGTTTGCCACAGGCGATCGCGAGCCGCCCAACCCCTGTTGTCTCTGGCGCCCGGCGCCCACAACGGCCGTTTTTGCCGTGCATGAGAGGCTACGGCGTGCTGCGAGCGCAGTGTTGATCCAGATGCAAACTGGTCGGATTGCTCTTCGAGAGTACCTGGCTACGCTACAACAGTGGCGCGAGGAGCAGCTCGATATCAATCCCTGCGTCCGCCGCAGACCTGCTCTTGTGAGCAAGGCAAACAGGATGTGGCACACGTTCTCTACTACTGCCCTCGATTCGCAGATCTTCGCCAACAAACCCTAGGAGCAAGGCCCTATCTCTCGCTCACCAGGCTGCATGAGCAGCCTGAATCAGCAACCAAAGCTGCAGATCTGATGTTACGAAGCCGGCTCCTCGGCCAATTTAGAGCCCTGCCGAACACATACCGCATTATCCGCCCATCCGCGGCTGATGCGTGATGAGCTATCCTTGGTACTCATTGCCGCTGCGACACCGACCGGTGTCGTACGCGGCGTCGGCTTGCATCGGCGAGCCACCATTCCCCAGCAGAACCACCCAGTCCACACGGCCTCGGAGAAGTGCGGGATTGAATGCATCAACAGCAGTCTGGGACGAGATGTTTCTTTTGACCTCACCGGAGAGAACCTATTAGTCTCCGCCGCCAGCGGCCTCAGTTAAGCCAGGCTGTATGCGGAGGATTGGAGCGGTGTTGACCGGTAATCTGGTGAAGGAGGAGCGAGGGCGGAGGCTGAGAGGTTGGGGGACAGAAGGGATTTTTGAGTCATGTAATCTAGTTATCCCAGCTAGCTACAGTGTCCTGCCGGCAAATCGGGCTCACGCCTGACATCCGAGTATGAATACTACTACTACTACTACTACTACTACTACTACTACTACCGCCGCTTACTTTGCGTGATGTGACGATTAGAAGCAGGATCCCGCTGTGGAGTTGGGGAAATCCTTCCAGTGCATTTGTTCCCTATGTCCGCGAAATTTCTTTAAAAAAGCGCCCTTTGCATCCCAGCCCTTCATTTCGACTGTCACTTTAGCTTCCAGGGGCTGGCCTTTAAAATCCAGGGCCGGACTCCAAAATCACCTATATTTTCCATTTACATTTTCTCCCTTTTTGGGTCACGCAAATGCGCAGGCACATTTTCTAGTCACGTCGACGCCAAATAGAGACTCTGTCATGGATCACCCCATTCTTATCCTTGCCCACAGTGTGCGTGCGCTCTGGCTGCCAGTACGCCACTCTCTCCAGGCCCGCCTTGCTGGGCTCTCGCAACGGGTCCGCATCGACAAGACCCTTATCATTGTAGGAGATCTTCTCACCGGGGTGGCTCAGATGCTCTATGTAGGCCTCGGAGGGCGAGGCAAATGGAGGGCCGGGGGCCAAAGGGTCCTTATGACGAGGAGATTCCAGACAGATCAGATTGCCTGCAGGTAAGGAAGCAAGGAGCTCGGTGTGTCGGAGAGCCCATTTAGGACGGAGCTCTGGGTTGAGAGCACAGAAAAACTAGATGGTTGTTAGAAGGAAAGTCCAGAAAGACCAGAAGGATCCAGGGTGGGTCGGAAATGGCACCACAAAATTCTAAAGACAGAGTGAAGCATCTTGCAAGTCCCTCTGTAGGACGCAGAATACAAGTGGAGAGAAAATAATAGCAATGACGGAATGGAGCCCGACAGCGGCATTGAGTATACATACCGTGTAATCATAAATGACATCAAATCCATTTCGAGGTACTCCAATCTCCTTCAACCAGGTATCATCAAAGAAATCCCCCTGGACGAAAGTGACCTTCCCTTTCCCAACTTTCTCATCTTGCACGCGGTACCGGCTATGGTTCTCCTTCTCCTCCTTATTGCACGCTTCGACAGCCGCGGCGCTGCACTCCAGGCCATAGGCATCATACCCAAGGCTCGCGAATAAGAGCACGTCGACTCCACGTCCACAGCCCGGCACCAGGGCCTTCCGCCTCTCACCATCCTGGGCGATGGGCCCGCCAATAGTGCCAGCTCGCTGGACCAGGGTGTCTTCTAGCGCGGGGTTGGGGAAGCCACGATCCCAGGGCAGATTATCACTTTTGTCCCAGAGGGAGGCCCAGCCCTCAACATACTTGTCCCCTTGATATTTGGCCCAGTATGCTTGAATATCCTTGGGATCAATGTTGGTAGGAGTCGTCATGGCTGTGGGTGGTGATGAGGTTTGGGGGGTGGGAGGGGGTGGAGTTGGAGGTGCTCGCTCTGGCGTGACAGTGATAAATAAGGTGGAAAATAGGAATAGTACAGAGTGGTTAGAAACTATTGACTACACAGAGAAGTAAATAATATTGGGTGCACGGCGCGTGTTCTACTTATGCCTCTCTACACTCGTAATTAAGGGTCTTTACGCCGATGAGAAATCATTGTCGATAGAGATAACCTTAAGCTCCGACCGCGAACCAATAGTCACTTAGGTCGAAAGTTAATTAGTCTTTACCTGTTTATTCATCATACTAAGAGAGATCTGTTGAGAAAAGTGGAGGTTTCTATTACAGTGGTACAGGATTGGCCTAGGCGGAAATCTCGGGCCGGCCGTCCTCTATTTCTAGTTTCTATTCTCTCCCCGACATTTTTTTCCTTGAAGGCTTAATTGTCATTCGGGCCGACTAACTACAACCTACACTCGCTTAAATCTACTATGCAAAGTCAGGACGTTATGATTTGTAGCGACGCAGCCGGGGACCAAAAAGATAAGGTTTTGACTAATGACATCAACTTTAGTTAATGCTGCGCCACCCGGAAATATGAATAAACATTTCGACGCAAAGGTCTAATGTTTCTGATCCGAAGGGAGTAGTAGTTAGTTAACGTGATCCACGGTCGGCTCGGACACACGGCCGGCCCGGACACTAAATCCCATTAGAAAATTTCAAATGCGATTATCTCAACCAACACCTATTAATTTTACTAAATATAACGATTTTTACATGTATTAATCCTGTGGCCAATTTCCCTATACCCACTACACCTAGGCGGAGCCCTTAGTGCTGGCCTAGTTAGCTAACTAGGCAATTCGACCTCCGTATACGATTGTACCCTATCTTCTTCTACCGGCAGATCTAGCTGCGCAGCTAGCTATAGGGCCTCTTCAATAGTCAAACCCTCTTCGCAGGGTAGGTGCTTAGTTGATCGAGTGCGCTTCTTGACGATCTTCTTATTGGCCATCCGTAAATTCGTATTATCCTGCATAAGTAATACGAGAGTGTACAGCGTTAGGTAGTGGCCCTTGATAATCCGATCTACTACTAATTTCAACGGGCTTAGAGGGCTTTTTGACCGCCGATCTAGCAGACGCCTTATCATACTAGATTGCTTATATAGCTAAGCTACGGTCTTAGGAGTTTCTGGCACGAATTCGCTAGATCTGCTGCTTGGCCGGCTGCTTGGTGGTGACGGAGTACGTAGAGAGATATTAAGCTTATTAAGCACTCTTTCTGCGTCTACTAGCACTAGGCTACTAGCTACGAAGCTGTTTTGTATAGTGGCTGATTGGAAGGCTTCTAGCCGCGCCCGTTAGTAGTCCACTAAGAAATCGTGTTTATTGATGTGGTTATATCCTCGGCGAGCAAGATCGCTGACAAAACGGCTATACGCCTTCTTTAATAGAGCAAAGCAGCCAACATCTAGTAGTTGTAGTAGATATGATGAATGAGAAGGTATACAAAGCGGTATAATATCGTTTTCTGCGTATATTCGGTCGAATAGTGGTGTAAGGTGGCTACTATAGCCATCAAGAATCAGTAGCCGAAACCGACCGCGTACGCGCGAATTAGTATATAGGATAAAGTGCTTTTCTAGCTAGCGTAGGCTAATCTCATCGGTAGTCTAGCCGTTCGTAGAGACCTCGATTCGCTAATCTCTCGGTAGATTATCGTTAAACTACCCTGTAATAGCCACTTTGCCCTTAAAGATTACGTATAGCGGTAGTGTGAGCAAGCGATGCTGCGCAGGTTGGTAAAGAGGAAGTAAGATTAATTGATCTTCTTCCTTTAATTGAATAGGAAGGATAAAATCAATTCGGCTTAGAATCATAAGATGAGAGAAAAGTAAAGTAGGACTGAAGCTTGGTTGATTGTATTGAATCTTGCTTATATGTATTGAACATTATTATTATTTTGGTAGAGAATGCAGGGCATATTTATAACCAACTTGTCTCTTGTATGTGATCATTCTAGATGATGCATGATGATCTCATGCAGATAGATCTAGATGCATAGTGATCTCATGCAGTAGCTGTTTGATCGGTGGTTGCTTGATTGTACGATGTCATTGACTGTAGTGATGATGTAGATCGTGTCATTGACCGTAGTGATGATGTAGATCGTATACTGTTGTATACGTCTTACTTGATGTCATTGACCGCAGTGATGATGGTATAGCATAAAGTGTATGACGGTTTAGGCATCTTGCCCTATATCTCATACCCCCCGTAATCTTTATACTATAGTGCAGATAGCAGTAGAGTATAGAGATTAGTATAGAGTAGATAGGATCAATATATATATATACTACTATCAAATAGCTAGATATATATCTTCCTAAATCTCAATCTCACAGGGTTAAGTGGTTCCTTCCGCATTCGCGTATAGAGTATGGAAAAACCTATTTAGGTGAAAACCATACCCGAAGGTATCCATGATATTATATATCAAATTGGATATATATATAGTTAGATCTCATAGAGATTAGCTAGATTCTTCAGGTCTTCAAATATTTCTCTTCTGACGTTTTTTGTCAGGAAATCTGCTAATTGCAGTTTAGTAGGGACGTATTGAACATCGACCCTTTCTTGTTTGACCTGATCTCTGATATAGTGATATTGTATATCAATATGCTTCGTCCTTTTGTGAAATTCAGGGTTTTCGGCTAGCTTAATAGCTGCCTTATTATCTACTAATATAGTAGGCTTGCTAGGCGTATAGCCTAGGCCTAATCTATCGTTTAGATAGTTGAACAGGTTAGCTAGATAGATAGCTTCCCGTATAGCTTCTTTCATAGCTATATATTCGGCCTCGCAGGTAGATAGAGCTACTGATTTTTGTAGCATCGAATTCCAGCTCACTATATTATTAGTGGCTAGATCTCCAGATAGGCTAAATATATAGCCAGTAGTGGATTTTCTACCATCAATATCGCCTGACTAATCAGCATCAGAATAGCCTTTTATATATAGGTCATTCCCTATGCAATCGTAGTGTAGGCCTAGATTTGGCCGATATTGTAGATATTGCTATATCTTCTTCAATTCAGAGATATATGATTGGTCAGGATTGCTTATATATCTTGAGCAATAGGCAACTGGATAGGCTATATCAGGCCTAGTCTTTAGGCTGGTATATAGTAATGAGCTAATCTCTTTTTGATAGAGATTAATAGTTTACTCTGAAGCTTTTGATTGATTTTTTCTTAGGTAGATCCCTACTTCACCCGGCGTTTTCTTTAGCCGTTTGCTACTAGTAGTAGCGAAATTTGATAAGATCTTTGATATATAATCATTTTGATCGATAGTTATCGATTGATCTTGATAGTTTAGGCTAATATTATTGCCTAGGAA